ACAGCAACAGCTGCACTGAATTTCGCTATCTCATATTGAAAATCAAATCCCAACGCTTACAGGAATAAATTACACATTGCCACGAGTGGTACTGGCAGCTCAGCAGTTAAAGTTAATTCGAGTGTCTTTGAGGTCTCCATCTGATTTCGATTCTTTCGAGCGCCATCCAATAGAAACTCACTTACCAAATCGACGATAATAAAGCTCCAATCAAGAGCTTAATTATTCGCTCACCGCATCGCGAAGGGTAGAAAGTGAACGATAAAAAAAAGAAAAAAAAAGTAAAGAAGGATCTCGAGTGAAAAAAACGAATTGACCAGGAAATCAGTTAAGTGAGGCGAATCGACACCGTCGTCTCACGCAGGGGTGTGGCTAAATATACACGACAGAAGTTAAAAGAAAAGAAAGCTCAAGTGACAGAAGAAAAAGAGCATAAACGGAAAATAAGAGCTAGACGGCAGCAGCAGGCAAATCAGCGCTGTATAATAGAGCGGGAGTGTATATCGCGTTCGAGTAAGCCCTGCGAGGCTTAAGGAATCGAACGTAATTAGAAACAAATTGTATCCAAACGTCAGAGGAGTGAGACAGGAGGATCGCTTCTTTAAGGATGAAAAGAAAGACCCGACGGTAGTCTTATTGTTTTAATTAAAAAGAAGCCAAAGTAGGAAGGCAAGAGGAAGAAGAAGAATGGAAATGCAGCAATCGCCGCAATCGCGTGGGCCACGAGTCCTCCTATTTTCTCTGATAGGATTGAAAGGCACTCGGAGCATAAACTGTGAGAAGTAACAACAACAACGAAGCAAACGGACCGTCGTATCACGCTTCGATTGCGTTGCGAAGCAGTTTACAGTCGTCATCTCCGTTGGCGCGCTTATTAGTCCTCGAAGCTTTTACTTTGTCTTCCGCGCGTTTTGACAAATCGCTCCCGCTGCTGCAGCTGCCACTACTGCTATATTTAATACTTTATCCTTTTATAACCACACGACAAAAAAGAAAACGAGGAATGAGAAAGAGTGCCTTATGCATTATTTCGATGTCGCGTCGCGTGTACGCGCACGTTAACGGCATTCAATATTTCCCATACATATCAAAATGACGAGACGTATTGAAAGTGACGCCGTGAAGCTTTTTGCCATGCACACGCGACGTATTAAGTTCTCCTTTTCTGAAGCATCGCATACATATAAGAGAAGCTCTTATATGATCCGTATAGCACGAACTTAAATGCATATTTTATGATTTTCGACGATCAAAGCTCGCTCATCTTACAAAAATCTCCCCGTCGCTTGTATCGTTTCACTTTTTACCCGTCATATACTTTTAAAAGTATGAGCCTAAATAGCTTTATGCTTTGAGACGATAATCTATTGAATAGAATTTTTAACAGGGATTACTATGTTCGGCGGAAACATTAGGATCGTTTGGTCACGATCTTGAATCGTTAAACGTCTTTATATTAATTTTTACCAAAAATCATTTTTTGTAAAAGTCGATTTGCGAAATTAAATATTAATAATGTTCCCTTGCCTTCATTTTTGAATAAAAAGCAAATTCCTAGCGCCTGTTTGCGTATACAAGCAATAATATACGAGCAAGAAAAGAAAAAAAGAAAAGGCAAATGAGCGAAATAGAAATACGTACAGTACGAAACGTCGGGAATTGTAGGAAGAGAGAGGAAGAGAGAGGAAAGTTGACTCGTGCTGCAAAGACTGAAGATTGTGTCTGAGTACCAATATTGAGCCGCGGTAAAAGTTCTGCTCTACCTCTGGCTGTTATATTCTATCTCCCTCCCCCTTTTTCCTCCTCCTCCTCCTTCTTCGTTCAGCCATGGTTTCCATCTGCTTGCAAGCTCAGTTTCCTTCTTCATTTTCTATCTCATTCTCTTTATTTTCTCAACAACAACGAATTTAAGCATCAGAATATTGCATTTCCTTATTCTGGTCGTGTGCTCCTTCTCGTTTTATTACTGACAGAAAGAGAAAGAGAGAGAGAAGAAAGAGACGCAGGGAGAGATAGGCTGTATATAAGCGAGAGCATGTCTTTCATAAGCCTTTTCAAAGGGTGAATTACACTCGAATATAGATTATAACACCGATATCGAGCTCCCTATCGATTTTTTTTCTATTTTGCGCGCGCCGCGTGTAATACCTTCGCGAACAACTGTGCGCGCATAACGCCGGAGGTAACAAATAAAACAGCTCCGCGCGCAGACTAATTATAATATTCCTCGAATACAATTTCAGAAAGGTAGCTATGTAGCTGTGCGCCGCCGCTGTTGCTGCTTTTGGAGAAATATTTCGGAGGCTGTATTTACCCGTAGCTGAGGCAAGGTAAATAATGAGATGTGTCGATATAGCGCGATTAAGCAGCTCTTTCCCATATACATCTCTTGGAGCAAAAGAGCGAGAACGAGAGAGAGAGAGAGAGAAGGCAAAAGTGAAGCTCGCGGTGGCAGTTGTATAAAGCAGCTACAGCGGCAGGTACCTTGGAAAATATTGATTATGGTTTTATAGTAAATACATGCGAGGCGGGTACACGTATTCGCGCTCCGGCGAGCGGGCGGGCGTATGCATACGTACGCGGCATTGCTCTTCGTGCTTCGAGCTTTGTTATAGAAGTTGGAAAACTCGGAGTCGAGTGGATTAATATCGCGAGTCTCGTTGTTGATTTTGTCAGTCGCTCGCTCGCTCGTTCGCTCTTTCAGTTTGTAGTCGCCGCGTATCCTCCTCCTTTCTCTCTCTCGCGAGCGCGCGCTGAAGGTGAGCAAGCGCGAGAGATAGAGAGAGAGAGCTTGCGACTGCTGCAAGCTGTATATAAGCATACATACATACACGCACGTACGCACCCATACGCCTTCGAATATGTCTCTAATGAACCAGCTTGATTCTATCTCACTCACTCTCTCAATCTCTTTGCGAGCTTATATCTGTGGCCGACTAACTGCTTTACTTTTACGAAAAGCTAGCGCAAATAAAGCTCGCGTGTGTGTGCGCCTGCAAATAGGACCAAAAAAAAAGCATTCCTCCTACCCTGGAATCCTTATAGAAATTCATTCTCGGCTAAAAGCTCGCGAGCTCGAACTTTTTTTCCTGCTACTGATGGCGATGGCGGTGATGGTCATATACTGGCGATGCTGGTGCTGGTGCCTTAGTCGACGTGAGATGAACGCACACACATAAAACTCCGAGCCACGTTTCGCTCGTGTTTAATACGAAAAAATATTTTTTAACGAAAGCTGCTACGCTGCTTGAACTTGATAAATTTACGGAACACGCGCGGCGGCGGCGGCGACGACGGTGGCTGTTTGTACTTTTCGAACTTGCGTCCACGCGCTCCCGTGTGCTTGTAAATGAATGTTTATTAAATGGAAAAAATACACGAGTTTCGCTTGGTTTGCATTTGAGAAAAAGTTTATTTTTTAATATATAGTGTGATCAAAAATATTTCGATGAACCACGACTGCTGGTGCTATGCATATTTCAGAAAGTACATAGTAAATGGCAATATGCCTCTTTTTCGTCTTTTATCAAGTTCAGATTCTTTAGTAGAGTTAGGTATGACGAGTTAGCTAATAAAAAAACAACATTTATTTAAAGAATATGTCTAAGCTTCTTTGCTTATGCTGATCATATCAACGCATTTACAAAGAGTGATTTTTTTTAACTGAGTTGATTTTAATCTGGTTATGAGTGAAATAAACTATTTTTATAGTTTACAATTGCGGGTAATTTGATTAAGACATGATTTAACAGTTTGATCTAAAAGCTTTTAAACAATTATAAACACTAAAAAGTATTATTCCAATGTTCGGAAGAATATTTCAAAACACATCAGACCTGTTACTTTTGCAAAAAAATGAGGGCATGAATAACGATTATTGGCCTCGAGATGTAGAGCCCTGCAACGGGAATATTTTTTCTTTCTAGTGAAATATTAATTGCGTACTTGTAGAATATTGATATTTTTAAGATTATTTGTATTGTTTGATGGTCCAAAAATCCACTGTTGCAAAATCTTCATTTTTTTCTTTGTTTTTTTCAATTATAAGGAAATTATTTTTTTTATTATTGGCAAAGGCTCAAAGGATTTTTTGAAATTTATTTGATTTTTTGCATAAATGTGAAATAATTTGTAGGAGGAAGGTCTTGATCAATGAATTTATGTGAGTTTTAAAATTAACAATATTTAAAATAGTAATAATTTTATATCTTATAATTAAAACCCGGTAATGACAAAAACAGTGAATGACTTCTCAAAAAAATTTTTTTTTAATTTAAAATATAAAACATTATTTAGGAGATATAAATTGAAAACTCTTATAAAAAAGATTGTGTATGGTCTTTTTATAATCATTCGCACTTATACATTGTTAAATTTCACTCAAATAATATTATTTTACCACCTATCAAGCGATTAATGCAACAAAATCATATTATCATTTCATCATTTATAGGCTTGATGGCCGTTTAGAAAACTTATCATTTTCAAAACATATGTCACACAAAAGTGAAATTCAAATAATAAGATAAATTTTACATGTGCAGGCTCAATGAATACTTTAATATAATTTTTCAACCTGACAAAACTGTCATCGGTTTAACTACGCTTATCACTATAAGTCAATAAAATTGACAATCCGGTTTGTATCCAAAACTAATTATAGATAAAAATAGGCGTTTTTACCTCGCTTAACGTTTGAATTGGTCGTGTTGATTCTTATGTCTGAATTAGAATAATAATAGATCGAAATTTCATCTGAAAAAACATTTCTTGAAAAAGAGATAAAACCTGTTTGAAAATGATTAGAAATTTTTGCCAAAATTTCTTTCGATGATATTTACTTTGTATTCCCAAAGAGTCCCACAATTAGATAAAAATTGAAACGATCATAGAATAAAAGTATTTAGGATAATGATCGTCAGAAGTAAAATTACTTTGATGCTTTGATGATGTAGATCAAAGTCTTCGGCTTATTGTATCGGTGTTAAAGCTAATTCAAAATGTCGAAAATATCGTTGTTTAGTTTGTTCTTAGGATTGCTTTTAAGTGTCGCTGTAAGCAATGGTGAGTTTTTCAATTAGAAATTATTTCTCCGCAATAACGTAAGCGCCACATCGATACATATTTATTTCTCCGAAATATCAAATTGTAGGAAAAAATTTTCAAAAAATTATTGGCGGCCGGTTCGCTAGTAAGGGCCAATTCAAATATCAAGTGTCTTTACAACTCATCAGTGGAAACGGTTGCACTCATCATTTTTGCGGCGGTAGCATACTCGATGAACGCCACATCATCACAGCCGCCCACTGCGTCACCGATAAAAATAGTCACCAATTTAATGGTGTCTATATTACCGTCGTAGCTGATGCAACTTATCTGGCCGATAAACGGACCGGTTTGTATCACGACGTCGAGTACACCTTCATGCCCTACTCTTACATGCTGAACGGTGGCGGCTCTTTTTATCATGATATAGCAATTTTGAGGGTGAGTACGCTTGGAACTTTTCGAAAAAAAAAACATATAGAGTACGTTTTTTATTTGTGACATCTTACCTCTTTGTAATAGTTAAGACGTCCATTACCTCTCGGCAAGAATCGAAAAATAAGCGCAGTCAGGTTACCCTCGGCTTATCAGTATTTGCCACCCAACAGGCAACTCGCCGTCGTGAGCGGTTTCGGCGTTTATAGACAAACGCAGTTTTCAAACGGTATGATAGCAGATAGTACGTCCAGTCCATTCATGAAATACGTTTACATAAGGATCAACGTGCAAGATCAGTTCGGCTGCGAAAACACGCAAGTCTGTGCCAAAAGTCTGAATAGTTACTTGGAGGGCACATGCTTCGTACGTTGATATTATATCTATCAATGATGGAAAGAACATCTTTTATTTTAAATTTCATTTGCATTTTCAGGGTGACAGCGGTGGCCCTCTCGTCGATCACAGTACAAATACTTTGATTGGTCTGGTCAGTTACTCGACTTCCTACCTGTGCGGGCAGATGACTAGATTCACCAGGGTTTCATCTTACTTAAACAACTTCATCTATAAAGTACTGAGAAATCGCATTGATAATACTATAGCGTATATTCAAACGAATCATAATAACGAACAAGTTATCCGGTCGTATCCTCATTGTGTCAGGACAATGGAGTAATGGTGTGGTCGTAACAATTTTTATATTTTTAATGATATTTTATGTTGTAATTAGTTTTAGTTTTGTACTTGAAAAATAAAAAAAAATAAAAAATAGAGAATATTTTGAGCTCTTGTATAATATCTATAAAGAGCAGAATATTTTGCTGATAAGATTTTCCTTCAGATTTTACCAGATTTTTAGCTATTGATTCATGTTTTGCTAGATCGTGATTCTGGCTCGCTTGGCCCATATAGCAGAATTCAGAAAATAAAATTAGTAACGCGAGAAAAATAAAATTTTATATGACTTTTCCGATGATTGAATTTTTTGAAATATTTTTTTACATTTTTGCACCTTGGATTTTTCAAAATCGCAATTGATAATTTGCTTAAGTATTCACGTAATTCAACGATTTGGGACTGCGATAAAAGAACGGTAGTAACGATGTTCTGTTCATTGAAATACCTCTAGTTTCCTTAATGACAGACCTAGTATCCATTGTAAGTATTAGGCGGCAGAAGTGAAACTTCAGGTGACTTTTCCGCTGATTTTTATTTTATTTTCCATCAACTCAATTTGAAAATCGCATAGAGCTCGAAAAGAAGCCGGCGAAGATTGGGGTAGTTTACGTCCATATATAGCAACAGCAGCAGCCTGGAGACGTTCCGAGGGCGCTGATGATTTCTGCGCGACGCATAATCAAGCCCGAAGTGCGCGCGGGAAAAATAAAAGTAAATAAAAATATATACACAGGTAAAATACAGCTGCGCGCTGTATACTGTACAGAGAGAGAGTTGCGTGTGTATCCCAGTGAGTTAGTGAGATTGAGCAAGTATTTTCAAGTCAGCAGCAGCAACTCGGGAAATTGGCGTCGAATCAAGGAAAGGACGCGGAAGGGCAGCAGCAGCAGCTAACGTACTACAGCAGGAGCTCCAGCGGCAGCGGTGGCGGCATGCTAATTTATGGCACCCAGGCGCTCCATTACGAATATTTATCCGCGGCGAGTTTAATCTAAACTTCGAACGAGACTCCGTCGCTACCGCCGCCGCCGCCGCCACCGCCACCGCCACTGCAGTGAGAGAGCGCGAGGACCTCCCTTCCTTACTTACAGCCAGAAGGCCATCACCTACCCTTCAGGACCTCTGGTCGCGCGTCTTAACGATGTATTGTCTCTCGAGTTGTCTCTCTCTCACTCTCTCTCTCTCTTTTTCTCCCTCACATGGAGAGCTTGTTTCCTGACTTATTACCAGCGGCAATACGCAAAAATTATGCTCATCGGCCTCTGCTCATCTTCCATTCTTTTTCTTTTATTTATTGGCTTAATGCGAGCTCGCGCTCTGTGACGCTGGCATATCAGCGCGCCACCGCCCCGGCGAATCGATTTCCTAATGATATATTTTATTATAGGCACGCTAAAGAAAAAAAGCAAAAAGAAAAAAAAGTAAAGCGAAGCCGGGAGTTGGCTTGTTATACGGATTTAGCGTGTGCGAGCATTATTTCTTTGCGTCGGCTCGAGCTCGCGCGCCCTATCTCATTTTTTCGATGCTCCTTTGCATATTAACAATATCGCTATGTGAAACGACGCGAGTAAGAGGGAAACTTGCGCGGGCTATATACCTACAGGGCTACGGCTATAATCCGTTGGGGATGATAAAAATTATTAAGCCAATCCGTCCTCTCCTTCTCTCGATAGTGCGCGCGGCTATACCTTCTCTCTCTCTCTCTCTCGACGCATATAATATAAAATCGTCGGATCCTTATCTCGTTCTATATCGTTTGAAGCTGCTGCTGCCTGCCTGCCTGCCTAGTCGTGCAATGAAACCGAAGAGCTCCTCTTTTATAACAGACACTGCCAATTACACAGCCGTTTAAATTCACTGTAGCGCGATTATTGGTTCTCTAAAGGTTCAAATTTTATGGCTCGAGATATCCTTCTTACCCGAATGTTACGCCAAATTTTACTGTTTTTCCCTCAAACGCATGGGCACGCATGAGCCGCCCTACGGCTTATTATAAATTTATTATTATATACGTGTGCGTTCCAGCTCGAGTTGCGTCGAATTGGCAGTGCCGCGGTACATACGAAATACACACGTATAAAGCGCGCGATTGATATCGTCAATAATTCAGAAGCAAAGAGACGTGCCTCGCGCAGGCGCGCGGATTTAATCGAGTCAAGCCAAGGCTTAATTGCCAAGACCTGATAATAGGAAATTCCTCGCGCGCGCGCCGAAACTTCGAGCGGTGCGTTCGGTGATCAGAGTCGAGTCGAAGCACATACATACACACGCGTACGTCCGTACATACGTAAACATACTACATACACGCAGCGTGTTCCATTTGAAATAGGGTCTAGGGAAATAAACCACTATTAATCCACATCGAAATTGAGTGTTACGGTATACACGTACGTAACAAGGGATTTGCGGTTCGAACGCGTACCATACATACACACACACACTCACGCCCAAGATCTTTTGTGAACGAAAATACGCGTGAGCTACATAAGCTATCCCAAAGGTGTCTTGGAAAATTAGTCGCAAGTGGCCCTCGCAATTGGCTTTGGCTTTTATCGATCCACCGAATTTTCTTATTTACGATCGTTCGCATCGACGCGCACACATCGAATCAGTTTATTTCGAGATTAAACACTGTGTGTCGGAATTCCCCGACGCATCCACGTTAATGAATCAGTACTTTTCCGATCAACTTATTCACGACATTATAGCAACAGCGAAAGAAGTAAAGATTCATCGATCTTTCTTACTCCTCAAAGTGTAATAATTTTTCCACTGGATGATACATACGCGGCCGAATGAACGATGAAAGCATTAATTGAAATAAACACTATATACAGATGTATTTTTTCCTGCGCTCGAGAGAGAGAGAGAGAGAGAGAGAGATAGAGATAGGGCATGATCAGAATTGCAGCCGGAGCGCGCCCGAGTAATTCAATCGGATGATGTCTGGCGCGCGCGGCGAGCAATACGTCTTGTTGCCGCGCGTCGACGAGAATATAAGTGAAAAAAAAGAGGAAAGGTTTCTCGCTTCTTATATTCTATACTCTTGGGATGCGCCTGTGCGAGGCTCGCCCGATGTTGAATTGAAGTGGATTAATTGGTCCGAGAGGCCTCGCGAGAGACCTCGATCCAGCCGCGAGTGATAGAAATGGAAGCAGCTTCGTCTTCTTCTTGTTCCTTTTTTTTCACCCTACCCGAATCGTTGCCTCCCGATCCGTTAGGTGTGCTACCCGCGTCGTGTTTGCATTGTCTTTCCAAGCACGTGTATGAAATAATAATTTTCAATCCCCTTTGACGCTTCTCTCATTTTTCAATAATACTTGACTCGCGACAAAACTCGACTCTCTATCGTGGCCTTGATTATAGATACGATTTAATTTGTAAGGTCTACACGCAACGCACCGAGAATCAGAAGCCTAGTGTGTCTGTAATCCGATACAGGCAGGCATTGATCCAAAGCCAAGTGCAAGCAGTGCACGTTGAGTCCCGGGATCTGAACTGATTATCAATTGCTTGTCAATTACTGGCAGCTGCAGCGGCAGCCTACGATGTACAGAAGGAGTACGGCTTGCGACTCTATATAATACGGCGCGCGTCAGGCAGTGCATAATCGTGCCGGCATAGCGTGTATAGGCCATATTGTATCCGAGCTCGCTGCGAGGTTATTTAATTAGCGCGATCTATCATCGCCGAGGCTGTCAGCCAGGGCAAGTCGAGGCGTATTATATACGTTTGATCGATTCCTCGGCAAGCAGTCTATAGCAGCCTATAGCTCTCCTGTCGCGACTAATGTTTCGGAAAAAGCTTATAGCAATTTTTTCCCGTAACGGATAAATCAGGGAAACTCTGTTTACCTTTTTCCCCTTTGAGGGATTATTATTAGAGCCGGAGATCGGGGTGAAAAATTAAAATTGCCGAATATAATTGATTACTTTTGTATTCAAAATTATCTTATTACTCAATGGCTGTACGACTTTTCGTCTCTCTCTCTCTCTCGCTCCAGGAGGGGTTCGAAGTCTTTGAAGCCTATTGTTTGTTCTCGTCTTTTCTGTATTAAAAAAAAAGCGATCCAAAAAGAAAGAAGCAGAAGACGGAACTCATTGAGCGCGAGTAACAGCGTATGAAATTGGTCATTGATGACTCGAGCACAATCCGTGTTACGGAGGTCTGTACCACCACCACCACGAGATTAATTTCTCGCTACGCGAAATCTAAAAATGAAAAGCGCGCACGACATATCTCTCGCAATGCGCGAGTCTTGAGCTTCGAGATCCTTTATGATCTAGAAATATATATTAAGTTAGCAGGTTGCTCGAACCTTGTGCGCCTTCTCGGCGTTCATCGACGCGGCACATTAATTCGCATTTTGCCTCCCGCTCATACTTTTTGCGCTCGCACGATTCCGCCTGCAGCGCAGCGGCAGCCCCCTACCCGGGTATCGGCCAAGTTAACAGTTTTAAGAGATAAAAGATTCGCTCTCTGCCGATATCACGCGGTCATGCGACTCCAAGACGAAGCTGCACAGTCAAGGATAAAAAAAGGAAAGGTATATATATCGTGTGCCTCTCTTTAACTTTGTGGCGTACTTATACGCAGAGCTGTTTTCCAAGGCTATGGGGGTATGGGGGAGTAGGGCAAAAGAGGTGAAGCAAGAAATTGATATAGCATAGGAAAATGAATTGCCTCTTTCGCTCGGTTCTCCTTGTACCCCCGCTCGACACCACTGACTTCCCCGTACCTCCTCACCCTCGTTCTCTTTTTCTCTCTCTCTCTCTCTCTCTCTCTTTTGCCGCAAAGAATATATATTCCTGTATATACCGGCAATCTGCCTTTTCTCGCGCTTTTTATGCTTTTCGAGCGCTCATTTTCAATTTCAGCTCTCCACCCACTCACCCTCTCCCTCCTTCCTCTTCTTGAGGCTCAGGGGGTACTGCTTTCGTTCAGCCGGGCGCTTTTCCGGCGTGTGAAACCTGCATTACCATATATACATCTTTTTTT